TGTTCATCATGATTAATAATATTTGTTAAATTTAAAAATTATATGGAATGATAGATATGAAAATAAAAACTCAGTCACCTCATCTGAGCCGTGAAGTCATTAGTCATTAGTCATTTGCACTAAATGTTTGGTTGATTGAGGAGTCGTCGCATATCTTTCTTAGTCAATATAAATAATAGAAATGCATTAACTTAAGACCACCCAAACTTTCAAAGTACCTCTAAAGACCTGTAAAGACCAAATATTCATCATTCATTAAAACATTCTAAAATATATGCACTAACACCCTTCAAATGCAGCAAAATGTGAAATTCGATTATACTGGTGCTTTAAGAAATGTGCACACTGTTTGAGAATGTTGTGCGGTTAGGCCTAGAATAAATCAAATTAACCTCATGTGCTCTGATCTGCATGCTAAATGCTCAAATCATGATTATAGGTGGAGCAAATTATGACTTTAAAGCAGAAAATCTTAATTAATGTTTGAGTTATTGGTGATCTATTGCATTGCATGCATTGGATGATTCTAATTGGTGACAGTTATTTATTAACAAAACTAGTATTTTAAAATGGTAAATTATTCAATGCTTGATCATTGGTAATTTTTTCATTTTTGATGAATAAATAAATTATCATAGAAATTGATGAAATTTGATTCTCGTATAAATTTTATATTGTTAATCATTATTAATAACATATCTTAAAAATTATATGGAATGATTAATATATAAGAAGCAAAAAAAAAGGACAATTTTTTTTTCTCATAAAACATTATAGAAAGGAATGTAGATCTCCATCATTTCATTCTGAAACGGTCAAGAAAAAAAACTTAACATGACATATCGTGACTCCAAAAATGCATTAATTATGTGATTGAGTGGAATTCCACTAGTTTTGTGATTAACAGTGTTTCAAGTACTATGTATGCAGTTATCCCTTCTGTTTATAAATTCAAAAAGGCAGAGGTGGCGATGTAGCTCTCTTTCTCTTGTTAGATTCATAGTTTCTTGGCATATAAATACATATCACTGATATTCAATGGTGGAAGTTATTGGTGTCATCAGACTCTTAATTATTCTCTTCTGTATTTGTTTATCTTCCAAACAATTGTTAGCAATTGGAAGAAATAATACAGACTATGAATCACTCGTTGAGTTCAAGAATCAGTTTCTAAAGCAAAGCAAAGTGGATCCTCCGACCATTTTCGCAAGGTCATGGAATGCCACCAACAACTTTTGCTTATGGGAAGGGGTCTCGTGCAGCTTCAAGCACCATGACAGAGTCACAGCCTTGGATCATTGTTCTGTCGGGTTGGTCGGTCCTATTCCTCCTTCCATATTCAATCTCACCTTTCTAAGAAGGCTTGATCTCAGCATCAACATGCTCTATGGTGAGATCACTCCAATTATGGCTTGCTTACCACGACTACAACATCTTAACTTG